CTGGGGTGGACAATGTTAAGCATCAGGCTTTCAAATGAATTAAAAGTCTGTCTTGGTCTTTCATTAATCATAAAAACAAATCAGCAGATCCACAAATTATGAATACAGTCTTTTCAGCTATAGAGGTAAAGGTATACTTCATGCACTTATCAGCATACAGTTTAAAGGCTTGCATTTAAACTGCATTGGTGCACACTTTGGCATCTTTTGTTTAACATGGTTATACCATTGTGAATTTTGCTATTTAAATATACTCAAGAGTCTATCGTGTGTTGCATATGTGTGACATCCAGCTAAAAATCGAAAATATATTTTTTTAAATCAGTAACTTTGCAAATTTAGAGGAAATGTTTTTGGACAACAAATGAGTCGCCTTTTAGACAGGGTTTGAATAATTAGCGCTGACAGCCATTTATGAAGCGACGGCTATAACAGACATACTTACCGTGTGAAAGGACCGCGGATGTCTTGGAGCAGTGAAGCACGCTGTATTGTTGCTTTTCTCTTATGCATAAGCAACGCCAGCCTGTCGAGGCATCAACTGGCCTTTCTGCCGGCTGACTGGTCCCTCAGCTTTCATGCTGGGATCTGCAGCACAACTTCGCTCTGGCCACTGGGGCACGGCAAAACTTGCAAGTCCTAGTTTTGGTTCTTCACTGCTCGCAGAGAATTAACAATGGTGGCTTCTGAAGTGAGCGAGCTTTATTGCGACAGTGATGTACCAAACAAAGGAAAGGGTGGCGAGAAACAGAACTGAAAACACTCTAAACTGGGGAAACTAAAACTTAAACAACAAAACCTGAACGTCAGTGAGGGTACCTTGCAGGGAGGACAGCGCGGGGAGAATGCACAGGGAGACGGAGGAAGATACACAGGCAGGGATGACACCAAACAGAGAGAGCACAAACGAAACCCTGGGAAACCAAAACACAACAGCATAATACATAACAATATCAAAAGAAAAAGTACAACAACCAAAAACACTGGGTCACCGACCCAGGACCATGATATTTATTTTCCTTCATGCTTCTCTTTTGGAATTCTGCTCATATATCATCTCTTTTACCTTTATTAGAGTAACGGACTTAAGGAAAAAATTCTGTCCAGTGCTATGGACTGTTTTACCCCAGCAACTATCTGATAAGCTTTCAAAATATACAATAAATTTAAAAAAAAAGTACACAAGTTACACTATAACATTAAACAAACAATGAATTTATTTTGAAGTTTAGGTTCGTTTCCGGTTACGCCCACTGAAATATTTTGAAAGTTGCAGCCGGAAACGTGAGTAGATTTGCCAACTGTTGTGGGGATGCTGAGGAGAGAGCATCCTTCACTGTAGGTTTTCACACACACAGGCCGTGTGTTTTATACGCTGTGATGTTACAACGCCGAGCAGTGTTACATTTTACTTGACTGCCGTGAGTTGCTCTTACACGGAAAACTACGCTTTCAAGCTAAGCTAGGAGCTGACACTCCAAGATTAGCGATGGTGGATTTGTCCGAAGGTGGTGCAGTGTCAGTCGGACACAACAGAGACAGACAGGGATCAGGTTCGGGTAATAATGATAGGATAACGTCGAAGAAGTCGCGAACGAGAAGAGGCAAAAGAGGAAAGAGAAGGAGGAACAAAAAGAACAACAGGAACAAAACGCCACCGCCGTATTTACCACCGGAGGTAGCTACCCTTCTATAGCCTGGGCATGATTATGGGACCTCCAGCCCGCTAAGCTAGCTAGTGATACTGTAGCAAACCATAGTCGAGCGCAGGTTATTTGCGGCTACACTTTGTTTACACCATACAGCTACCTATAACATGGCGGAAAATACTCTTATATGACCTTGATTTTACACAACAATATTTTACCGCTGTCTGGTTTGAAGGAAACTCATTCCACACGCAGAGGCCAGAGATTTTGACGCATTCTCATAAAGTGAAGTGAAGAATTCAGCAATACTAATTCAGCAAAATAATCTGTGTTTTTTTCTACATTTTTATAATAGTCAAATACGTTTTAGCTCGACTGGAGCAAAGTTAAGAATGGTGGGAGATATATGGAATAGCAAACCGTTGAGAAAACATATTAAAATGAAGTACGCAGTGCAAAGGCAATTGACTAGTAATTGAGATACTAATCCACTTAATAAAGGAAGTGGCCTGAGCAATCCATTAGATTGTGATTAATCACAATGTAATTTATCGCAGGAAACTGAAATTGCAGGAGGATTTCACTAAATCAGGGGCTGATCGTGGCTCAAGAGTTAGCAGTTCGTCTTGTAATTGGAAGGCTGTTGGTTCGAGCCCCGGCTCGGACAGTCTTGGTTGTTGTGTCCTTTGGCAAGACACTTCACCTACCGCCCACTGGAGATGGCCAGAGGGGCCAATGGCGCAATATAGCAGCCTCCCCTCTGTCAGTCTGCCCCAGGGCAGCTGTGGCTCCACTGTAGCTTGCCTCCACCAGTGTGTGAATGATTAGTGGAGTTGTAAAGCGCTTTGGGGGTCTCGAAAAGCGCTATATAAATGCAATCCATTATTATTATTAAATCCGGTTGGCAGAAAAGGGCATGCAGTAGGAGGGGCCACATAAGTATGTTTAGCTAAAAGTATGTTTTCTTAACACAGTGATATGTAACAGCACATCTGGAAACCTGACTGTAGTAATAGTGTTTGTTTAGAGTTGATGCTTCACTTAAATAAATACATTAGCAAGATTTTAATGAGAATACACACACACATATATGAATACATCCAGAATACATACATTACTAGATTAATGAAAAGTGTGCGAAGAGAAACTAAGAAAATGGCCCAAAAAATGTCAGGCCCTGAAAAGTTGAAAAAGCAGAATTTGAGGTTGTCCACTAAATCTTGAAAAAAGCAGATTGATGTAGTTAAATCATTTTGTTTCTTAGTTTTTGTCTGTATGTCTAATACAGAGAAAGATCCAAGATGTAAGGAGTATATAAAGAGTAATCTGCCCTCCAATAAGTAGAATACAGCATATAAATATGACAAATTGCAGATTCAGAGATATATGTATGTGTTTTTCTGACTGTATAAGATGACAAACAAATACAAAGAAAACCTTTCAAACATGAAAACACATTAAGTCAATACATATGCTAAGACCTATACTATGAAACTGACAACAGCATGTTGTAGGTAAACAAGTAGTTGAGACACAATTCTGCTGCTATATACTATATACCTGCTGTTGAGAAACACACCCACAGTGACCTCTCTGGGTGGCGACTTCTAGTGTTTTAGTTCATCCTGGCAGTGATGAATGACGGCTGAGTGTCTCTGTTGCCAACATTCTGGGGAGTTGAACACTTTCTTCTGGATTTGAAAATTTAAAAACTGTTGCCAGGGTGGCAACATACCTTTGACTACATGATCTATGTTATAGTTAGAACAGTTTTGTTCATATCATTAATGTGTTAACTAACCTTATCCCTACATTTCTCTACATTTCCAGGCTGAAGAAGGGAACATTGAATATAAGGTAACTAACCTTCTGTTTCTTATCCAAATTATAGAATAGAATAGAATTCAACTTTATTGTCATTGCACATGTCACAGGTACAGGGCAACGAAATGCAGTTTGCATCCATCCAGAAGTGTTTTAGCCATGATATAGATATATTACAATATATATTAGCAATAATATAGATATGTGAGTATATTACAGAAATGGGTCTATTACGGTATGTAATATGTACACGGTATGAAGTATGTTATGAATATGCTATAACTATAAGTATGTACAGGCTATGAACAGGATATAAATATGAAAAAAAACTATACAGAAATATGAGATATACAGCTATACAGAAATGGGAACTATGCAAGTTGTAAACACTTGTAGAATTAAAAATTATCGTATGATTATTTACACAGAACTATGCAGTAGTGCAGTTAAGAGGCTATATAAAGTGCTAGTGGTTATGAGTGGTGGTTCAGTCCATGTTATTATTGTGTGTTTGAGGGTACAGTTGTCCATTGTGGGTGTGTGTATGTTCAGTCCATGTGTTAACGTGGGTCAGATGTCAGGAGGCAGAGTTCAGGAGTCTGACAGCTGTGGGGAAGAAGCTGTTCCGGTACCTGGTGGTCTTAGTCTGGAGGCTCCTGTAGCGCCTCCCAGAGGGCAGGAGGGTGAAGAGTCCATGTGATGGGTGACTGGGGTCTTTGATGATTTTCCCAGCCCTCTTCAGACACCGCTTCCTGTAGATGTCCTTTATGGCAGGAAGTGGTGCTCCGGCGATGCGCTGGGCAGTTTTCACGACCCTCTGCAACGCCTTCCGGTCCGAGGCAGAGCAGTTCCCGTACCAGACTGTTATACAGTTGGTCAGGATGCTCTCGATGGTGCAGCGATAGAAGTTCACCAGGATGTCTGAGGACAGGTGGTTCTTCCTCAGAGTCCTCAAGAAGAAGAGGCCCTGGTGAGCCTTCTTGACCAGCTTGGAGCAGTTGGTCGTCCAGATGAGATCCTCGGAGATGTGGACTGCCAGGAACTTGAAGCTGCTCACACGCTCCACGGCCGTCCCCTTAATGTGGATGGGTGGATGTGGGTCAGCTATTATGATGTGATGAACTTCTTTTCATTTGTAAGCTGTTAAAGTTTTTTAACCCTCAGCCATAAAAGGTCTTGCCATCACCTGCTGGGCGACGAGCAAGCAGATGGCGTGAACACAAAAGGTTGTGAACGCGATAACTCATGAACGAAGGGATTTAGCTTCAGTTAGATGTCTGCTAAAAGTCTCGAATGAGTTTGAATCTCAGTAGCCTTGACCTCAAGGTCAGATGTCAAGTTTTCAGAAAATCTTGTGAATGTGATAACTCAAGAGAAAGTCCAACTTATTACCACCAGCAGCAACTGTGTGACAGAGAGCATGTTTGGCTACAAAAAAAAAAAAAAAAAAATAAGAGTCAATTGGTGCTACTAAAAACAGCTATCTGAGAAAGGATTAAATAATTGTGGAAAAGACTAGGAAAATTATGTTGCATATCTTAGATTGATTAGTTAGTTCGTGCACATAAATGGACAAATATTGGGTGATTCCATATTTTTAACCATTTTATGAATAATTAATTCAGCAGTGGGCTAATAAAATGCTTAACATACTAGGAAGGTATTGATAACTACACTAAAAATGTGGTCATCAAAACTGTCACCCAGTGGTGAGGTTGTTGTTAAATGCTGTATATTCTTATTATAGGTATTTTCTTTAGGTTCCTAAAATATCTTCAAAGTTTTGAAATCAACTTGGTGAACCAGCAGGAAGGAACCCGAATTTTGTCTGATTTTAGCCTAATGGCATAAAGGCATCCTTCTTCCTAAGCTCCTTACAGTTCCTAAAATTGATTACTGCCCACTTAAAAACATTAGATTTATTATCTCTGTTATCTGTTTATGGGCTGGATAGCTGTGCTGAATTAGACCGTCACATGTATTCAGGGTAACTCTGCTCTCATCTGTGAAAACTGCAGTCTGCCAGTGGTGGATCTGCTAATTCTGGTATTCTATGGCATTTTCTATGGCAAATGCCAGTTGGATTCCACTGTGCTGGGCAGGGCCCACTAGAGCAGTGGTTCTCAAAATTGTCACAATGAGTACCACCTCGTCAGTCCAATAATCGACGATGGGCAAAATTTCCGCGCATGCGCAGACTTTTTGATGGGCAGAGCAATGTAGTCATGCACGGACTGACATGGACAAACTAATTTCCCCCCAAAAAATTAGGGCTGTCACGATTAACGTGATTAAAATTTTTAACACGCTCAACCAATCTGGACAGCAGAATGAAAAACCTGTGAACAAACTGCCTGAAATGTGTTGACAGAGACATTTCAGGGATTTTGACTCAGTTTGCGCTCCAGATGGGTTAATTGTTAATCGCGTTAGTCATGATGACGGCACATTAAAGCTGACAGCACTAAAAAAAAATTACGTATAAACTCGCCAATTTGGGATTTCTTTGGCTTTTAACTGGATGAAAGAGGTAAACCTAAGGATGTAATCAAAGCAGTGTGCTGCTTGTACAGACGTGTTATGCGCGCATAACTTGCATGAGCAGGTACGTGTCCACCATCTGGCTGAGTATGCTAGGCTATCACCAGCTTCTGCAGCTCCATCAACAAGCATTTGGGCACACTCTGAGGAGGGTGCATTTGCTCGCAGATGAAAGAGTTAAAACAGTGTTAGCTCCATCATTATTAGCAAACTTACTCATGGGCAAACAAATAAATAAATCGCTCTTATAAAAACGATCGCTGATGGGCTCAGCCTATTGTCGATAGTAGATATATTCGTCCAATCGCCCAACCCTAGTATGAACCCTACTTCCAGGTCCAAACTGGTCTGCGTTTATTAAGGCTGTTGTGTTTTTAACATGTTTTATTGCTTTGGATCTTGTTCTCTTTAATATGAACAAGCCCCTAAAAAAGGTTGTGATCACTGTCGGCCTTTCTCCGTTTTTATTACCACTGTTCATTTTAAAGCTCAGTTTTTAAAACCTTATGACATAACTACAGCCCAGCCCATGCAGCAGTAAAACTAACCTCATATTGTGGATGGATAATCTCAGTTGTTCTCCTGACTAAAGTTTGGTTTGTTTACAGCATCCTGCCATGCAGTTGTATTGGTCCCTAACCATGGGGAACCCTCACATTAACTTTTATTGAATGGAAAAAAATTAGCGTTCATCCTCCAACTTCACTGTGTTTATATTATGCTAACCATCACATAGCACATCATTATATGCACGCTAGCCCAGCTTTAGTACCTTACAAACGTCACTGCTGTTTAGTTTTCTGACTTCATTTATGTCGGAAGTGATAGCACAGCTGTACGTTTTAATTTTTCAGAAATCCCTCAGTCAGAACATGGTATATTATTTAATCTTAAAAATTTGTGGGGCAGACTTCCCACATACCACTAGAGGGAGGGTGATATTAAAGTCCTGTTATTAGTATATGTGAGGGGGCAAACTCCTCAAGATGGGTGGTGACCATGGTGGCCATTTAGAAGTCGGCCATCTTGGATACAACTTTTGTTTTTTCAATAGGAAGA